ATCTGAAGATTGAGAAAGAGCCACATGAAGAGAAGGGGAAGGGCATTCCATGGAGAGTAAATACCATATGCAAAGACCCAGAGGCAGGAAGGAAAACAATCAAGAAGAGGCCATTTTGGCTAAAGAGTAGTGAGCTATGAAGATAATAAAAGAGGATGATGTGATAGGAAGTGACAGGGGTGGGGGAAGGGGCAAGTCTTTTAAATAAGGGGTCAGGGAAGGCCTCTCTGAGGATGAGACATTGAATTAAGACCTGAGCAGAGACAAGGAATCAGCCATGCAAAGATCAGGAGACAGAAATTTATAGACAGAAAGAATGGCCACTGCAAAGGCCTCTAGGTGCAACATGCTTGGCCTGTTGAACAGACAGCAAGGAGGCCATTGTGGCTGGAGTAGAGCCAGTGGGTACGGAATTGGGGGGAGATAAAGCTGGACAACTTGGAAGGAGCCTGATTGTACAGAGCCTTTCAAACCACGGTAAAGACATTGGATTTTACTCCAAGTGAGATGGGAAGCATTGGAAGGCCTTTAAGCCAGGGATTATTTCAGCCTCTGTCTCCTCTGGAGCCCTGCAGACCTTACTTTCTATACTGTTCATTGGCTTCCAGTGGGCACTAAGCTATCCTAAGCTATTGTTTGCTGAGTATATCCTGTCTTGCAAACTGGACAGAGAGATCCACCTTGAGTCATGGACTGGGGCTTGGGCATTTTAGTATGAAGTGCTCAGCACAGTGACAGAGCTTCAGAGTGTGTGTGTGTGTGTGTGTGTGTGTGTGTGTGTGTGTGTGTGTGTGTGTGTAGGAACAGGAGGGGTGTAGCTGGGCATGGTGGCTCACGCCTGTAATCCCAGCACTTTGGGAGGCCGAGGCGGGTGGATCACAAGGTCAGGAGTTCGAGACCAGCCTGGTCAATCTGGTGAAACCCCATCTCTACTAAAAAAAATACAAAAATTAGCCGGGCATGGTGGCAGGCGCCTGTAGTCCCAGCTACTTGGGAGGCTGAGGCAGGAGAATCGCTTGAACCCGGGAGGCGTAGGTTGCAGTGAGCTGAGATTGCGCCACTGCACTCCAGCCTGGGTGACAGAGCAAGATTCTGTCTCAAAAAAGAAAAAAAAAGGAAGAGGAGGGGTGTGTCTTGATGATGTTGATGAACACACAAGCTAGAAGTACAGCTGGAGAAGATAACATGTACTAATAGCATATTCCACATTTTAAGTGTTTTAGGGGTGATGCCAGGGCAAATTGACAGAAGTGTTTATTGAGTGTATATTTGGGTTGTGATAGCTGGAATAAATTGTGCTGGGACAGAACATTGCAGGCATCTCTATTTAAGGGGTGAAAAAAGCAGTGGCTTCCTTTTTGGATTTTCTAGGTCTAACCTTAATTTTCAAGTACAGCTATATTCAGACCCTGATTGGGTAAGATTTTCCTGGCTTCCTAGTGATAGTGATGTCTCAGAAACAAGTCTCTTTTCCTAAGGTGAGCTTTTAAGCAGTACATTTTCACCAGAAAGGCTTGAAGCCTTAATCATAATAATATTAATAGTTAATATTTCAGAGCACTTACTATATGCCAGGGATTGTGCTTTATCTGCATTAATTTATTTAAGCCTCAAAATAATCTTATGGATCAGGTAATCATATTATTAATATTACTATTTTACAGAAAGAAAGCAGATTCTGAGGGGTTGAATCATTTGCTTAAAGATTTCAGCTAGTTACTGGTATAGTGGGATCGGAACACATGTTTGACTGATCCCAGAGCCCCTCTTACCACTTTATGTTGCCTTTAAAGGTTGGTTTCAGCATCCACAGTCCTCACTTATGTTGCAATCTGATTGGATTTGTTATGGTAGATCTGCTATCTTTCTGTGTTTTCCCTGTCTGGTGGTCTATCTTCTATTTTGCTTTCATTGTTAAAATCCCCCAATACAGAAGATTTTAGGGCTCAAACAGATGTCAGCTAATCCAGGCAGAAACAGTGAATAACTGCTCTGGATAAAAATTCATTTGTCATATTTCTTGAACGTAGAAATCATCACCTTACCTAGTTTTATATTCCCCTCAATATAAAGCACAGAATAGTCTTACAGCCTAGATGCTCAATAAATGTTGAATTGACTTGAACTCAATTTCTAAACCCTAAGATATTACATAATTACTCCCATTCCAGCCAGACAGGGCTATTCCAACTTTCTACATAACATTTTTTTAGGGGGAGAGGGGGTGCAGAGGTTGGTTGGGTGGGGTCCATGTGTATGCTTGGGGCAGGTAAAGGGGAATAGCCATAAGTTTTCTAAGTCTTATGCCTGATGCAGGAAGGGAAATATAATCTCTATTTACCACCCACCTCCTTTACTTCATTCAGTAATATGTTGGTTTATGAAAATATGTAGTATTTTCTAAAAAGCAAGGGAGGCAAGAGAGAGCTTGGTAATTTATACTTTGCCAGTTTCATCAGTGCCTTAACATAGCTCCCTATTCAGTCAGTGAAGGAGAACTGTATGTCCTTGTTGGGAATCTGGAGACATGCCAGTGGTTGCAAAGAGCTCAGCAGTTTTGCCTATGTACTTAGATCTGGACTGACCAGTTTAGCATGTGGATCAGATCAGGGACTAGTAAATGTCATTTTGTTTTGACATTTGTATTGAAATTACGGGAAAGAGGTGCCTGTTTCATGAGAATAAAAAGAAAAGAATGCATTGGAAAAGTTTGAGCTTGATGTATTATTAAAAGAAGCAGCCGGGCACGGTGGCTCACGCCTGTAATCCCAGCACTTTGGGAGGCCGAGGTGGGCGATTCATGAGGTCAGGAGATGGAGACCATCCTGGCTAACACAGTGAAAACCCGTCTCTACTAAAAATACAAAAAAATTAGCCGGGCGTGGTGGCGGGCGCCTGTAATCCCAGCTACTCGGGAGGCTGAGGCAGGAGAATGGTGTGAACCCGGGAGGCGGAGCTTGCAGTGAGCCGAGATCACGCCACTGCACTCCAGCCTGGGTGAAAGTGCCAGACTCCGTCTCAAAAATAAATAAATAAATAAATAAATAAATAAATAAATAAATAAATAAAAAAGAAGAATATATGATCCATTCAGGCTGAGTTTAAAAACATCTCAAAACTAGAATCATCCTAAATCTGGCAATAGTTTAGTTATATAGTGATGTAAAAGACAGGATATGTACAGGAACCTAATACTAAGGGCAGTTCAGTTTCATATAGAGGTGTTTTTTTGTTTTTTGTTTTTTTTTCTTCGTGCAGATACAAATCCATTATGTAAAATAGATTTGTTTGCCAAAAAGTCTATTTTTGTCTATAATAACAATGCAGTTACCAATTATTGAGCAGGTTTTATATGTCAGGCATTGTGCTTAAACACTTTGCACGCATTGTCTAATTTAATTCTCACAAAACCCCTATGAAGGAGGTGAAATTATCTACTTGTTACTAATGTGGAAACTGAGAGACTCAGAGTGGTTATGTAACTTGCCCAAGGCCACACATATAATAAGGGGCAGAGCCAGAATTCTGAAGTGAATCCCTGGCCTGAGGGCTCTTAATAAGATTAGAATCAATACCTCTGAGGATAAAGACCTGGTCCAGTTTTTAAAATGTACGGTAAAATAATACATCCAAGGACTCTGTGGTATGAGTGTATGTGTGTGTGTAATATGCTTTAAGTTCTTTAGTAGAGAAACTAGGTAATTTTCATTGTGTTTCTTAAATAATGATTGCTTAATTGCCTTTAACACTTGCAGCCACTTAGTGGTTAAGTGATGTCTGTTAGAAAATTCTCTTGGCAGTTGCTTTTTGAGAAAGATGATCAAAAGCACACCAAGAATGCCAGTTAATGCCATCATTATTTACTTAGTATAAATTTACAATAACAGGAAAATATGTTCATAGAAATAAAATATCATCTAAAGTATTTAAAGAATTGAAAATGATTCCCATCTTTGTTGTTTGGCCTTACCTTCCTTTACAAAATAAACAAACCTGTTTATCACGTTGTTATAGGAAACAATGACCATGTTTATAAAAAAGAAGGTAAGCTTAGGTAGGAATAATAAATATCATCTTGGATGAAAAGCCTTTGTAAGAGCCTTTTTGATCCTTGAAATATTCTTTTGAAGAAAGGTATGTGGCTTAAGGGTTAACTGATAAATCAGACACCAAGGAACTGTACCTATGGCTACCAACTGCCAAAATAACATCAAAATGGGCAGATAAGTTGTTCTAAAATTAGGTTAACTTAGTTGTTTTCATTTTCTCCTCACATACCGTTTGCTCCAATTAAATCAGTTGATCCTCAGATACACCTTGTGCTTTTGTAACTTAGTGTCTTTCCTCATGCTGTTCTCTTTTCCTAGAATTACATATATCCAAATCCCAACCCATTCTTCCAAATTAGCTCAGATGTCACATCCTCTGTGAAGTGCCTCTGATCCCCTCACAGAAGCAGTAACTTTTGTGTCTCTCCATCTGCACCTTTCTTGCATTAGCAATCTTATAGAATTTTATTTTTATAGTTCTTGAGGCCCCTCTCGCTTTCCACCTTGAAATTTTGTTTTTAATTCATTTATCTTACATCTTCTGTTGGTCTCTAAGCTTCTTGCAGTCAAAACCTATTTTCACTCAGCTTTGGGTAGATCTCAAATACCAAGCACAGTGCTTTGAATACAAACGTCACTCAGAAACATCTATTCAGATTTGAGTGCTTACCACGTGCCATATACTAGGCCTACAGGCTGACTAAAACAGTTTCTTCTCTCCAGGTACTCATGGGAAACAGATATATTAACAGACTTTCAATATGATCTAGTAAGTAATAAGGTAGAGTCATGAACAGAATACATTGAAACCTGGAGAAAAGACTTGACCAAGGAGAAGGCCTAGACTGAAAGATGGGCAGTTTTGGTCAGAAAATTGAATGTATGAATCTATGACTTCAAGGTGAAGCCATTTTGGAAGGTGGCAATATCCAGGATGTGACCCTGAGAACTATGCAGGTGAAGGAAAGTGAGTATAGGATGTGAAATAGCTCTTCCAACTGGACAATGGTGCCAGGAATTGAGGTAGAGAGGATGCCAGTAAGCCAGATACCAGAGTCCTCAGTGAATGAAGGAAAATGTCCAAAAGAGAGGTAGATGATCATCCTGGGAAGGAGTAAAAGATGGCATCTGCAGATGGTGTGAACTTCGTGGGCAGTGAGGCTTTTCATGAAGCTGGAGCAATGGCCTGGTAAGGGCAATGGGAAGGCAGGATGGTGCTGGTTCCCTATGCTACCTGACCCTATCCATCGCAGAATTTATTGTTTAGAGCTCAAGCAGCTTTAATTGGAGAGAGCTGCATGGTGAAGCTCATTGTCTTTGTAAAGAGCCAAGTCTTCTTCATTAGGGCAGGAAAGAGGTGTTCTGTGAAAACACAGAGGGTATAGAGGTGCTTATTTACAAGTTGAATGACTGTAGATAATGCTGATACAATGGGAGAGCTGAAAGTGGACTAGTCCACCTTTATCATTTTAAATTTGAATACTCTGAGGCCCAGTGAAAGGAAGTAACTTTTTTCCTCAGGCTTCCATAACTATGTTTAATTTCTTTTTTTCTAGCAGTTATTTTGATGCATAGATTTCTTAAACACAGATGCTTGAAACACATGAGTGGTCTATAAAGACCTCCAAGGTAGGTTGTGGGCTATTTCATAGTATAGCATTTCTAACATGATAATCCTATGAAAGCATACAAATAAGATGTTTTGACATGAAGAACCTGCATATGAAATTCAATAAACATATGTCACTGATATTTATCACAGTAGCATGTTCTTCCTACACATTTATGGATTATTTCTTTCCCCAGCTCTCCCAGCCCTAATACAATAGTGAGTCTTTTGTATGGTCCTTGAAACTTCCACCCACACCACTCTGCTAAAATAGTTCTCACTAAGGTCACCAATGACAATAAAGTCACTAAGTCTAACAAATAATTTTCAGTCCTTATCTTATTCAATCCCTCAGTAGCATTTGATACAGACAATCTTCCCTTCCTTCTTGAAGTACATTTTGCCCTTGCCTTTTATGAAACTGCAGTCCCTTTGTTTTATTTGCCCACTTTTGTATTGCTCCTTTGCAGATTTATCCTCCTTTACTTGATTATTAAGCATTGAAGTTCACCAGGGCACTGTTCTAGATATTTTTACCATCCCACTCCATACTCTTTCTCTGAATGATTTAATCTATTCCCATGGCTTACAATATCTTCATGCTCAGTGTGTCTCTGGAGCATAAATAAAGATTTATATCTCCAACCCAGGTTTCTCCCATGAACCTTAAACCCTTATGTCCAACTCAACATCTCCACTGGGATATCTCAAGGGCATCTGAAATTGAACTGGCCTAAGTGTGAACTTAGATTTCTTCTCTCAGACTTGCTCCTCCTCGTGTTTTGTATCAGAGTACCAAAACAGCTACTTACAGTTGTGTAAGCTAAGAATTTGAGTCATCCTCAATACTTTCCTTCCTCTCAACTTCCACATCAAATCCATCAACATGTCCTGTTGATTTTACCTTGAAAATACCTCTCAAATTCATCCACTTATCTCCATCTTTATTAGTAGCAACTCAGTCAAGCTATTGCAGTAGACTTTCTTTGGTAACAGCTTTACTGAGATTTAATTCAGGTATTATAAAACACAGCCATTTAAGTTGTACAATTCAATGGTTTTTAGTATAGTCATACCTCATTTTATTTGCTTCATTTCATTTTGTAGATTTTGCATTTTTTAAAATAAGTTGAAGTTTTGTGGAAATCCTGCATCAAGCAAGTCTATCAGCAATATTTTTCCTACAGCATGTGCTCACTTCATGTCTCTGTGTTACATTTTGGTAACTATCACAACAGACCAGGTGCAGTTGCTCATGCCTGTAATTTCAGCACTTTGGAAGGCTGTGGCAAGTAGATCACTTAAGGTCAGGAGTTCGGGACTAGCCTGGCCAACATGGTAAAACCCCATCTCTACTAAAAATACAAAAATTAGCCAGGCATGGTGGGAAGCACCTGTAATCCCAGCTACTTGGGAGACTGAGGCAGGAGAATCACTTGAACTCGGGAGGCGGAGGCTTCAGTGAGCTGAGATCATACCGCTGCATTCCAGCCTGGGTGACAGAGTGAGACTCCATCTCAAAAAAAGAAAAAAAATTATAACAACACTTCATACTTTTTTATTATTGTTATATCTGTTATGAAGATCTGTGGTCAGTGATCTTAGATGTTACTATTTTAATTGTTTTGGGGCACCATAAAAAGTGCCCATATGGGACAACAAACTTAACCAATAAATGTTGTAGGTGTTCTGACTGCTCCACCAACTGGCCATTCTCTCCTCTCTGTCCATCTCCTCAGGGACTCCGTATTTCCTGAGACAGAACAATATTGAAATTAGCCCAATTAATGACCTTACAATTGCCTTGAAGTGTTCAAGTTAAAGGGAAGAGTCTCAAGTCTCTCACTTTAAGTCAAAATCTAAAAATGATTAAGCTTAGTGAGGAAGGCATGTTGAAAGCCGATATAGGCCAAAAGGAAATGCTTCTTGCATTAGCCAAATTGTGAATGCAAAGGAAAAGTTCTTGAAGGAAATTAAAAGTGCTACTCCCGTGAACGCACAAATGATAAGAAAGCAAAACAGCCTTATTGCTGATATAAAGAAAGTTTTAGTGGTCTGGATAGAAGATCAAACCAGCCACAACACTCCCTTAACCTAAAACCTAATCCAGGCCAAGGTCCTAACTCTCTTCAATTCTATGAAGTCTGAGAGAAGTGAGGAAGCTGCAGAAGAAAAGATGGAAGTTAGCAGACGTTGCTTCATGAAGTTTAAGGAAAGAAGCCATGTCCATAACATAAAAGTACAAAGTAAGCAACAAATGCTGATGTAGAAGCTGGAGCAAGTTATCCAGAAGATCTATCTAAGAAAACTGAGGAAGGTGACTACACTAAACAACAGATTTTCAATATAGATGGAACAGCCTTATATAGAAAGATGTCATCTAAGTCTTTCATAACTAGACAGTAGAAGTCAATGCCTCGTTTCAAAGCTTCAAAGGACAGGCTGACTCTTTTGTTAGAAACTAATGCAGCTGGTGACTTTAAGTTGAAGCCAATGCTCATTTACCATTTCAAAAATTCTGGAGCCCTTAAGAATCACATTAAATCAACTCTACCTGTACTGTATAAATGGAACAATAAAGCATGGATGACAGCACATTTGTTTACAGCATGGTTTACTGATTATTTTAAGTCCACTGTTGAGACCTACTGCTCAGAAAAAACAAGATTCCTTTCAAAATATTGTTGTTGTTCATTGACAATACACCCAAGAGCTCTGGTAGAGATGTACAAGAAGATGAATATTGTTTTACTGCCTGCTAACACAACATCCGTTCTGTAGCCCATGGATCAAGGGGATATTTTGACTTTCAAGTCTTAAGAAATATATTTTATAAGGCTATATGTAGCTAGTATAGAGTGTGATTCCTGTGATGAATCTGGGTAAAGTAAAAGAAAAACCTCTGGTTTTCCTTATTCACCATTCTAGATACCATTAAGTAAATTTGTGATTCATGGGAGGAAGTTAAAATATTACATTAACTGGAGTTTTGAAGTAGCTGATTCTAATCACTATGGTTGACTGAGAGGGTCAAGAAGTCAGTGGACGAAGTAACTTGAGATGTGGTGGAAATAGCAAAAGAGATGTTGCTGATGCAGCCAAATTAACAATGAATGGAACTTCCTCTGCAGGAACCCTAGCTGTGTCACATGACCCAGTCAAGCCAGTAACTACCAGTCCTCTACCAGCAGAGACGGATATTCCTCTATTCTCAGGTCAGAAGTCCTGCTGGAAGTGCAGTGAGCCTTATTCCTGAAGATGGCCTTGTTCCTATTCTCATCTCTACTGGTGTAAAAGGAGACTATACTGTGGAAGAGAAACCATCACATTTATTTCAGTAATGCAGCAGTTGGAGGATGGTGGCCCTGACCCACCTGTATTTGTTTTAAATGCACATTTGTTGTCAATGCTTAAAATTGTAAATTATATGAACAGGAAGTGCTGGTGTTTTACAACCAAGGGAATGCATGCAGTGGGTCAGTCTGAGATAGTCATTCTTCTACAGTGTCTATCGGATGGAAAGTGTTTGCCAAAGGATGTCTTTAATCACTTTGTGTGACTTTATCAGGATGCTCTGGCAGGGAATATGGTGGGCAACTTGGGACACTTCTTCTTTAGTCAATGTTTCCTTGGCAGTAAAAAACATGGTGGATTCTTTTGTCTTCTTTTTTTTTTTTTTTTTTTTTGAGATGGAGTCTTGCTCTGTCACCCAGGCTGGAGTGTAGTGGTGTGATCTCGGCTCACTGCAAGGTCCGCCTCCCAGGTTCATGCCATTCTCCTGCCTCAACCTCCCGAGTAGCTGGGACTACAGGTGCCTGCCACCATGCCCGGCTAATTTTTTTTTTTTTTTTTTTTGTATTTTTAGTAGAGACAGGGTTTCACTGTGTTAGCCAGGATGGTCTCGATCTCCTGACCTCGTGATCCGCCCGCTTCAGCCTCCCAAAGTGCTGGGATTACAGTCTTGAGCCACCGCACCCGGACACATGGTGGATTCTTATATGTGACATCTACCTACCAGTCATTGCAAGACCTAGTACTCCCAACCCCACCTTACTTCTTTGGGATTCTTATCCAGAAATGGCAAGCTCCTAGGGCTAAAGTGTTTCCTATCCATCTGATGTTGAGACTTGGAGCTGAATATCTATTTTATCCATGCCCACTATTCAGTGTCAGATCTCAGAAGCCATTATTTGGAGAGATGGGGCATATCATCATGAATCTTCTTGCAGAGTTCAGAAATTATCAGTATACCTTGTCAGTTCAAGGTTGGTGGTTGATATGGAAGTTTAGAAAACCGGCATAAAAATTCCCAGCAACAGATAAAATGAGATGATGAAAGCCATGAACAAGTCCAATGAGCATGTCCTGGCAGGAGGTGCCTGCTTCAATGAAAAGGCAGATTCTTATCTTGTGTATGTGCAGAATGATGATGGAAATGATCAGACCCAGGCTATCAGTATTCACAATCAGCCCAGAAAAGTGACTGGTGCCAGTTTCTTTGTGTTCAGTGGCACTCTGAAATCCTCTTCTGGATACCTTGCCAAGTCCAGTCCAGTATTATGGAAGATGGCGTTATGGTCCAGATCACTGCAGAGAACATGGATTCCTTGAGGCAGGCACTGCGAGAGATGAAGGACTTCAGCATCACCTGTGGGAAGGCGGACGCAGAGGATCCCCAGGAACACATCCACATCCAATGGGTGGATGATGACAAGAACGTTAGCAAGGGTGTCGTAAGTCCTATAGATGGGAAGTCCATGGAGACTATAACACATGTGAAGATATTCCATGGATCAGAATGTAAAGCAAATGGTAAAGTCATCAGATGGACAGAGGTGTTTTTCCTAGAAAATGATGACCAGCACAATTGCCTCAGTGATCCTGCAGATCACAGTAGATTGACTGAGCATGTTACCAAGGCTTTTTGCCTTGCTCTCTGTCCTCACCTGAAGCTTCTGAAGGAAGATGGAATGACCAAACTGGGACTACGTGTGACACTTGATTCAGATCAGGTCGGCTATCAAGCAGGGAGAAATGGCCAGCACCTTCCCTCGCAGTACATGAATGATCTGGACAGCGCCTTGGTGCCAGTGATCCATGGAGGGGCCTGCCAGCTCAGTGAGGGCTCTGTCGTCATGGAACTCATTGTTATTTTTAAAAGTTGCCACAGCCATCTCAACCATCAGCAACTAGCATCCTGATCAGTCAGCTGCAGTCAACATTGAGGCAACACCCTCCACCAGCAAAAAGATTATAACTCCCTGGAAGATACTGGTTTTTCTTTGCCTGGCTTATTTCACTTAGCATAATATACTTCAATTTCATCCATGTTATCACAAATGACAGAATTTCCTTATTTTGTAAGGCTTTGTGTGTGTGTGTGTGTGTGTGTGTGTGTGTATAAAATCTCACATTTTCTCAATCTATTCATTTGTTGACAGACATTGAGGTTAATTCCATACCTTGGCTATTGTAGATAATGCTGAAATAAGTATAAAAGTGCAGATATCCCATCAACATACTGGTTTCATTTCCTTTAGACATATGCCAAGTAGTGGAATTGCTGAATCATATTGTAGTTCTATTTTTAATTTTTTGAGAAGCCTTCATACTATTTTCCATAATGGCTCTACTAATTTACATTCCCATCAAAGTGTTCAAGGGCTCCCTTTTCTCTATATTCTCACCAATACTTATCTTTTATATTTTTAATAGAAGCCATTCTAACAGGTGTGAAGTGATATATCACTGTGGTTTTAATTTACATTTTCCTGATGATTAGTTATGTTGAGTTTTTTATTTTTTTCATATACCTGTTGGCCATTTTTATATCTTCTTTTGAGAAATGTCTATTTGGGTCCTTCGCCCTACTTCCAATTTGGTTGTTTTCTTGCTATTGAATTCTTTAAGTTTCCTATAAATTTTGGATATAAACCCCTTATCAGATATATGGTTTGCAAATTTTTCTCCCAGTTTGTAGATTGCCACTTTACTCTTTTGATTGCTTCCTTTCTGCACAGAAGCTTTTTAGTTTGACGCAATCCCATTTGTCTATTTTTGCTTTTGTTGTCTATGCTTTTTGGGTAATATAAAAAAAATGCTAAAATCAGCATCAAGAAGCTTTTTCTCTGTTTTCTTCAAGTAGTTTTATGAGTTCAGACCTTAACCTTTATGTCTTTAATTCATTTTGACTTGGTTTTTGTATGTGATGAGATATAAGGGTCCAATTTCATTCTTCTGCATGTGGATATCCAGCTTTCCCAACACCACTTATTGAAGAGACTCTCTCTACCCCATTGTGTGTTCTTGGCATCTTTGTTGAAGATCAACTGACTGTAAATGTGAGGATTGATTTCTGAGCTATCTATTCTACTCCTTTGGTCTATTCGCCTGTTTTTATGCCAGTACTATGCTATTTTGATTATAATAGCTTTTTGGTATATTTTGGAATCAGGTAGTGTGATGCCTCTAGCTTTGCTCCTTTTGTTTGCAATTGCTTTGGGTATTCGGGGTTTTTTTTGTTTGTGTGGTTTTATATGAATTTTAGGATTTTTTTTTCCCTATTTCTTTGAAAAATATTATTTGAATTTTGCCGGAGATTGCATTGAATATGTAGGTTGCTTTGGGCACCATGGACACTTTAACAATATTAATTCTTCTGAATCACATATGTGGAATATTTGTCTTTTCTTCTATTTCTTTCATCAGTATTTTTATAGTTTTCAGTAGACAGAAATTTTACCTTGTTTCTTAAATGTATTTCTAAGTTTTTTAATGCTTTTGTAAATGGGGTTATTTTCTTATTTTTCAGGTATTTGTTGTTAGTGTATGGAAACACTACTGATTTTTGTATGTTGATTTTGTATCCAGCAATTTTACCGAATTTTTAAATTTGTTCTAATCGTCTTTAGGTGTTCTGTATATAAGGGTGTATTATCTGCAAACCAAGAGAACTGAACTTTTTGCTTTGCAATTTGGATGCCTTTTCTTTTTTTTTTTTTTTTTTTCCTAATTGCTCTGGTGAGGACTTCCTATATTATATTGAATAGAATTAAGAGTGGGCATCCTTGTCTTGTTCCTGATCTTAGAGGAAAAGCTTTCAGCTTTTCTTCCTTCCTTCCTTCCTTTCTTTCTTTCTTTTCTTTCTTCTTCTTCTTCTTTCTTTCTCTTCTCCTCCTCTTCCTCCTTCTCCTTCTTCTTCCCCTCCTCCTCCTCCTCCTCCTTCTCCTTCTTCTTCTCCTTCTTCTTCTTCTTCTTTTCTCCTCTCCCTCCCTCCCTCCCTCCCTTCCTTCCTTTCTTTCCTTCTTTCTTTTTTTGATGGAGTTTTGCTCTTGTTGCCAAGGCTGGAGTGCAATGGCATGGTCTTGGCTCACTGGAACCTCTGTCTCCTGAGTTCAAGTGATTCTCCTGCCTAGCCTTTCAAGTAGCTGGGATTACAGGCATGTGCCATCATGCTCGGCTAATTTTGTATTTTTAGTAGAGATGGGGTTTCACCATGTTTGCCAGGCTGGTCTCAAACTCCTGACCTCAGGTGATCCACCCGCCTTGGCCTCCAAAAGTGCTGGAATTACAGGCGTGAGCCACTGCGCCCGGCCGCTTTCAGCTTTTCATGGTTAAGTATGATGTTAGCTGTGAAGACTAAAATCCTTAAGATATCATTGAAGTCTCTTAATAGCATTCTGCATTAATTAATTACACACCTAAATGTAAAGTTTCAACTTTGACAAGTGGTACAACAAAATACAGTCACACGTGGACCATATATGTGGTGGTGGTTTCATAAGATGATAATGAAGCTGAAAAATTCCTGTAGTCTAGTGATAGCTTAGCTGTCATATTGTTATAGCACAATGCATTACATTTTTTTATGTTTAGAAATGTTTAGATACACAAATACCATTGTGTTACAACTGCCTACAGTATTCAGTGCAGTAACATGATGTACCGGTTCGTAGCCTAGGAGTCACACCATATACCATCTAGGTTTCCCTAAGGACACTCTGTGATATTCACACAATGACAAAAACTGCCTAATGATGCATTTTTCAGAAGGTACTCCTGTCCTTAAGCAATGCATGACTGTGTATTATGAGAGTCTGAAAGTCTATAACAGATCAATTTGACCCAGCCACAGGTCTTCTGCATGTGCTGTTTCTTTACCAGTAAGGAATGTGTTTATTTTGTTCACTATTGGATCCTCAGTTAAAACATTTATTTTTATTTATTTATTTATTTTAGCTAGATCAAGACTCTAGATTCTAGTTTGCCTCTAAGTTTAATGCATGGTGAAGAACAAGGAGATTAACACTGGTTAGTTATCATATATTATGCAAAAGTAAACTGCCAAAAGTTAAGAGAGTCCATGTCTAACCATTGAGTCACAGGCATCTTGTAAAAGAATAAGTACTACAACCTAAGTCACAATAACAAAAGTTTGTCAAGGAAAAAATCAATTCCATATTTCATCCACATCTTAGGCACTTGGAGTCAAATGTTAAAAATAAACACGCATACCAGACTTCCAATCAAAGTATTTGGATTGGCTCTTGTTTAAGACTTGTATGAGAGGCATTCCTTTATTCTGGGACTCACTGAACCTTTCATGGTCAAACATATCTAGTAAATACACTCTACACTTTGCTTTCTAACAGTCTGACACATTTTATGATGTCTCAGATGGTCAGTTTAAGTTGCTTTTTGTAACTGCCGCTATTTACATGCACAAAAATAAAAATACAGGCCAACCATATTTTGCCTATTATGTAACGTAGACATATTTTTGCTCTTTACGTTAAAGAGTATATATACACACACATATACATATATACACATACATATATACACACACATACACACACACCTATAAATGTATCTGAAGAGATATATATATATGTATATGTGTGTCTATATACATACATATATATATATCTCTCTCTGAAGACCTGTGATATGGAATGCAAGAGAGAATATTTAGAGAGCTGTAGACTGTATTAACTGAGTATAACCACAACATCTTAAAAAAAGAATATTTCCTCAGAAAACTCTGAAATCATAAAGGAAAGGATAACAACAACAACATTTACTTACTTAAGAAAATCTTTGTACAGTTTAAGCTTTCAGAAACTTGTATGCTTTTGGCTAGGCTCAGGATTATGTTTGGGAGGTTATTTTTGTTTTGTTTTCTTGGAACTTACTGGCTTTTCCTGGTTAGATCTTCTGGATATAGTTCTCAGACACTTCACAGAGAACTAGATGAACAGCCATGTTGAATATATAAGATATGAGGGAACAGATTTATCAGAACAGAGTTTCACAACAAGACAAAATATTTAAGGATCATAATACTTTACTTCATAGGTTAGTTGAACTTTTCTTTTATACATACAATTCCTAATGAGAAAATATTGTAAAATATCCTGGTGAAGAAAAAATTTTATAAGTCAATAATTTTTGAGCAGAAAAATGGATTCCATTGCTAATCATTTTAATTTTAGTGTTTTCGACAGAAGGAGGCAAGAAAGAGTAGAAAATGAACTTTTCCCTGACAATTTAAAAATAGTTGATCATGAAACTGAATTGTAATTCATTTGAAATAACTGAATATAAAACTGGATTTTAAAATTCCCGAATAACAAACATGTAACATGAAAAATCTTTAAATTTCAAGTTAGAGTACATCTGGAAACTCAACATGTAGAAGACAAATGCCTTTTTTTTTGTCCAGAAGTTATTTACTACCTTTTGTTTTAAAGAGCAGGAGAAGTCTCTAGAGACCTTTTCATTAGCCAATCAGGAAATTTGGACTTGAAGAGTTTAATAACAAGTCATAGATCACAAAACTAGTTATTGGCAGACTTTGAATTTGAACTCATGTCTCTTCACTATCATTTTGCCTCCTTGAGACAAGATTCTATCATGGGTAAGGATAATGTGTCCACAAAGACATATATTCTTAAAACATATATTCTCTATTTCTTTTATGATTTTAAAAGTAATCATTATAAAAATATTCAAACAACAGCCAGTGCAGAAAGCAGAGTGAATTTTGGCCTTCCATTCCAGTCAAAGGATAAGCATTTCACGTAGGTAAAAAGGAAGACAAGTCAGCTTAGTGTAGCTTAGAGCTTAAAGCTGAGAAAAGTCTAATTTTTTGAACTTATTCTTCCTTCCCATACCATAGGAAAGCATTCATTCAAAGTCTGTCATTACTGCAGGCCCAAATTTAGAAAGTTATGACTGTGATATTGCTACTCTTGAAGGAAGATATCTCACAGAGCAGTTTTGCAAAATGTTGTGAAATTGAGTGCTATGGAAACAGGACAGCACCCGATTCCCCTTTGGAACACATGAGGTAATCATTTGAATTATACCTTTGCAAAGGCATGTTAGAATGCATTTTTTTTAGATCGCTGTTTGAAACGGTGATTAACATGACCCTTTTGGGGAGATTGGATCTGCTTGTCAGCTGCGTGGAAACACAACAGGCTGTAAAAGAGGGTTTATTATCAACTAATATAACTGAAAAGGCATGGTACATGCAAAAAGAGGAAGATAGATTTTGTTCTCTCTTGGTGTGTCTCAGATATTTATTAATCGAGATGGTATTTGCAGTGGCAAATCCCATTTCCCCTTTCACATTCCCTCTGGCTGGCATATGATGATAGCATTAGAGCTGATGCCACTTGGCTGATCATGCATTGCTGATCACCATTCAAGGCAACCGGAAGAGACAAAAGAAAAAGCCTTATCAGTCCCCAGAGTACTAATGTGAGGAGAAAATTGCTCATTTGAAACGTTTTAAAATTTCATTTCATTTCTAAACAGTAACAAACTGTATTACTACTCTCTTTTATTTTTATATGTTGTCAGATGGGATGCAGGCCATTATTTATGAACCACTTGCAAAGCTGCTCCTCCCATCTCTCCACCTCCCCTCCCACTGCTAGCTTCCAGTTCCCATCCTAAGTACCACACTATCTTATTTAGTATTCTTCCCTTTGTTCTACTCTATGCTTCTAGTTTAAATATGATAGAATTATGTGAGATTAATCACATTTGTAACATCAGGTGCCACAAAAAAAGAAAAGAAACAAAAATCCTATTTATAAATAGCTTTTGCATTCTGTGGGTTCCTCGTGGTTTTACTAAACACTTTATTGCTTCATGTTTAGAATTCACTTGACTTCATTTAGAATTCATTGCTTTATATAATAAGGTGCTATATAAAAGATGCAATTAGACATTTTTCCCATTACTAGTTTCACTGTTTAAAGAGAGATAAAACACGTGGAAGGATGTGAGTCAGGATAGACTCTGGACCCACTTCCTCATTGATTGGAGTTTCTGATTAAGAATCATAAAAGTGGCCGGCACGGTGGCTCATGCCTGTAATCCCAGCACTTTGGGAGACCGAGGCGGGCAGATCACAAGGTCAGGAGATCGAGACCATCCTGGCTAACACGGTGAAACCCCATCTCTACTAAAAATACAAAATATTAGCTGGGAGTGGTGGCGGGCTCCTGTAGTCCCAGCTACTTGGGAGGCTGAGGCAGGAGAATGGCGTGAACCCGGGAGGCGGAGCCTGCAGTGAGCCGAATTTGCTTTCACATCAAACTGTTTTGGGAAGATTAATAATGAGTAATAATCACCTGTTCATGGCACTTTGACCTCATTCACAGTATATCACTTATTGAGTGACGTCAATGTCTGCAGCAATGTGCTAAACTTGAGAAAATCTCTAGTGTACAGTTTCAGCTTGGGTACTTTGCTTATTTTTATGCAATAATTACATCATAGACTCATTTGAACTATTATTGAATTAAGTCAAGATAAGAAGGAAATCTAAATATGAAACTGGGACTCAGAAAATACTACCTGTTCTTCTAGGCAATGGAGCAGAGCAGTAAACAAAATGGACAACAATCTCTTTGCTCTCACAGAGTTAGCATTCTTGTGAAAAAATACTAATTGGATGGACTTTATCATATAAATATAAGCAGGAGGCAGATGTTATTATATCTGCTTTTGCAATGAGAAAACATGCGAGGTCAGTTTGTGCATAGTCCTCTAAAGACATTTAGTCCATCACTATCACGAGGACTCGACAGCTAATGTAAATGATTTGGAATAAGTGTTTTTATAAGACCCATACATCATGTCACATAATTCAGTTGCAAAAGATGTGGGAGGCGTCAGTCAATGACAAGTGGTATACATTTATGCCAGTTTTATTTTCTCCTATAGGTTTGGTCCAAGTGACTGTTCATGAACATACGGGATCTGGCTAAAGAATTGTTATTTTCTGTATACGTTCAGTATCAAAGTACACAATTTGAAGTTTTTTTCTAAATCTTTTTACTTCTGCCTTACACAGTCCTGAAGAAAGAATGGTGTCTTTCTTGGATGTCTATCCACCTGACGAGACATGGTGCAATGGAAAGAATACAGTCTTAATACAAGGCTGGGCGCGGTGGCTCATGCCTGTAATCCTAGCACTCTGGGAAGCTTAGGAGGGTAGATCACCAGAGGTCAGGAGTTCGAGACCAGCCTGGCCAATGTGGTGAAATCCCATCTCTATTAAAAATACAAAATTAGCCAGGCGTGGTGGCTCGCACCTGTAATCCCAACTACTTGGGAGGCTGAGGTGGGAGAATCACTTGAACCCAAGAGGCACAGGTTTCAGTGAGCCGAGATCCTGCCACTGCACTCCAGCCTGGGTGACAGAGTGAGACTCCATTAAAAAACAAATCAAAAGATGAAAGTTACAGCTCTGGTGTTTTTCACAAACTATCTAAGTAAACTTGGACTATTTCTTATCTGGACCTCAATTTCTGCACCTATACAATGAAGGGCTTGGCAGATTGTCCTTAATAGCCGTTTCCACTAATATATTTCATGATTCTATGACTTGATGAGTAAGGGTCGTATAGAAGATTCTTCCTTGATCACAAATATAAAGTTTAATTTCTCACTTCAAATCATATTTTTTTTCTTGGAATTGATTTAACCACTTTCTTCAAAGCCAAAAAGACATATAGGCAATTTAGAAGAGCTATTTCATTTGATTGTCAAATTTTCAAGTAAAATAAAACAATTTTAAAAAATAACAAATCGATAGTATTTTATTTTATTTTATTATGTTCCAGAGTACATGCATAGGACGTGCAGGTTTATTACCTAGGTAAACGTGTACCATGGTGGTTTGCTGCACCTATCAACCCATCACCTGGGTATTAAGCCCTGCATGCATTAGCTATTTGTCCTGATGTGATGCTCTCCCTCCCTCCACCCCTCTGAGAGGCACCAGTGTGTTGTTCCCCTCCCTGTGTCCGTGTGTTCTCAATGTTCAGCTCCCATTTATGAATGAGAACATGCAGTGTTTGAGACCGGCCTGGCCAACATGGCAAAACCGCATCTCTACTAAAAATACAAAAAATTTGCTGGGCGTGAGTGGTGCACGCCTGTAGTCCCAGCTACTCAGGAGGCTGAGGCAGGAGAATCGCTTGAACCTGGGGGGCAGAGGTTGCAGTGAGCCAAGATCACACCATTGCACCCCATCCTGGGAGACAGAGCACGACTCTGTCTCAAAAAAAAAAAAAAAAAAAGAAAGAAAGAAAGAAAAGAAACTATCATCAGAGCAAACAGTCAACCTATAGCATGGGAGAAAATTTTTACAATCTACCCATCTGACAAAGGTATAATATCCAGAATCTATAAGCAACTTAAACCCGTCTGACAAAGGTCTAATATCCAGAATCTTCAAGGAACTTAAAGAAATTTACAAGAAAAAAACAAACAATCCCATCAAAAAGTGGGCAAAGGACATGAACAGACAGTTCTCAAAAGAAGACATTTATGTGGCCAACAAACATATGAAAAAGGCTCAATATCACTTATTAGAGAAATGCAAATCAAAACAACGATAAGATACCATCTCACGCCAGTCAGAATGGCGATTATTAAAAAGTCAAATAAAGAATTTCATGTATAAGGTGGGAGTTCATTTCTAATCACTCTTCCACTCTTACATATGTTTGCAAACTTTACCATAGAAGACATTTTTTGAATTTAGTGGAAAGGAGTCAATGATGCAGTGTATCGAAAATGGTTATCTATTTGCTTTCACATCAAACTGTTTTGGGAAGATTAATAATGAGTAATAATCACCTGTTCGTGGCACTTTGACCTCATTCACAGTATATCACTTATTGAGTGACGTCAATGTCTGCAGCAATGTGCTAAACTCCTCACAAACCTCAAGTCACTTATAGCACTGAGATTTAGATATTATTGTGCCTATATTTGCAAATGAGTAAACTGAGAAACAAATAAGTAAGTTGATAAAGGTGACATATACAGTAAGTGGCAGAGCCTGGATTCAAGCCTAGGCCTCTCTGACTGCAAATGTCTAGTGCTTTTATGTATATACTATACTACCTCATTTGATACCCACACCAATCATGTAAGATAGGTAAGGCATTATAAACCTCACTTTATTGATGAGAAAACAAAATCTAAGGGTTTATGTGACTGACTTACTTTGAAACACAATGCTAGTAAGTAGTGGAGCAGGGACTGGAGCCTGATGACCAATATCTAAACAAGTATAAGATTATATTAAGCAAAGGCCAGGCACAGTGGCTCACGCCTGTAATCCCAGCGCTTTGGGAGGTCGAGGCAGGTGGATCACTAGGTCAGGAGTTCAAGACCAGCCTGGTCAAGATGGTGAAACCCAGTCTCTACTAAAAGCACACACACACACAAAAATTGCCAGGCATGGTGGCACGTGCCTGTAATCCCAGTTCAGCCTGGACAACGAAGTGACTCCTTCTCCTCAAAAAAAAAAAAAAAAAAAATGAACTATAACGAGTATCTATGCTTCAAAGAGTTGGGAAGAGCAGAACTAAATGAAACCATTGCAGAAGAAATAAACACTAAGCAATAATGTGCAGGATGGAAACCAAAAAGAAATTAGAAGAAAGAATGTCAATACAGGCCGGGTGCGGTGCTCACACCTGTAATCCCAGCACTTTAGGAAGCCTGAGGCGGCAGAATAACGAGGTCAGGAGT